CCCTGGTTCTTGAATTGCTGAGTAAAAGCAATACTCAGAATTAGAGGCGGCTTGGGGTCGTAATATTCCTTAACTAAATCTGTCAACTCTTAAAAAGTTTTAGTATCTGATACCTCCGGGTACATTAGGCTCCTAATAATCAAAAAAGCTGTGGGTTCATAAGCTGTCAGGAAAATTGCTCATTGCTTTTCATTTGCCCCAATGTAATTTGCCCGGAAAAGATAATGCATACTTTCCATACACTTGGCCCAATCTTCAGTGGCAGGATTGAACAGGTCAAGCTTTCCAACTAACGGCATGATACTAGAAATTCTTACCCTAACTGAAAGACAACTGTTGCGAGCAAATTTCTTCAGGACCATGCTTTTCTCTCATTGCCACTGAAATCACTCCACAAAGGCCAGTATCCTGTCACCAAGTCACCATTTATTTACAAGTGGAAGTCCTTGACACTGATCCAGTTTCCTCAGAGCCAGTTCTCAGGGTGAACAGAACCTCTGACACTCCTGTTTATATCTGTCAGCCAGGACTCCCTCATTGGACCAGATTAACAGCCCCAATCAGGGAATTCATATTCTGTAAGTTCCACCTGGCTGACCTCACTGCAATCACTACAAAGTGCAGCCTTAATGTCAAGGACAGTGGCTCTGATCTCACTTCTGGATTTCTTTATCTCTGAACACGTAGCATAAGTTGACTAGATATTGTTAAAGATAAAAGTTTGCAGCATTGAATGCATTTTTGAGACGTGAAGCATTTACACAAGTTTAGAAGTTATTTGGTAAAATTTTCCAAGATTAAGAAGGTAAATAGCAGAAAAAAGTTTCTGCTGGTGAGTGAAATGATATGAACAGGGTACAAGGTGAAGATCAATCATTTAGGGGAAAATTAGAGAATTATTCTTTGCATAGAAAGTGGTTTGCTTGTAAAAGTTAAAAACAGTGCATTCTTGTTAATAAGGAAATCAGATAAAAGAAAATGATGTTAAAACAGTAAGGCAATCAAAACTGAGAGTATGGGATTAAATTTAGGCTTGTGTGGATAAAAAGTGTCATGTAGATCTGATAGACAAAATATCCTGTCTTTTGTGGTTTAATGTATGAATGTGTGTATTAGTGATTGAGGCAAGGAATGAATTAGTCTCATTTGCGAGGAACTGTTTTTGTAATGTATTACATTGTTCCTTGCTGACTCTAAATTCTACCTGTTCTGATTGGCAGAAAATTTGTATGAAAGGGAAATGATACTTTAAAACCTCAATGTATTAATAATACCTATCCGATAGACCCCTCTAAGAAAATCTTCCTTCACAAAAAGTCTTTTAGCTGCATGTAGAGAAGCAAATAAATTTACAATGATGGTGCATTACATCTTATATTTAATTTCAGTGATTGTTGAGTGAAAGAATAAACCATTCCATTGCTGACAAGCACAGGGAAATTAATCATGCTGAGCTATTTTCTAAAGAAAAGCTCATGTATTTACAAGATGCCTTTTAAAACTGCAAGACTTGTAAAAAGCAACGTACAGTTAATAGATTACTTTTCAAGTGTAGTTACTTCACTAAAGCAGGGAAATATATTAGCTAGATTTTTGCATGGCACAGTTCCAAAAACAGCCAAACAAAAATGACCGGATAATTCAGTTTTTTGCAACACTAAATGTAGGTTAAATAATGGCCAGGATACTATGGACAAATCCCCTGCTTTTATTCAAATTGTGATAGGGGATCTTTTTTGCTCATCTGAGAGAATACATGGCACCTTGGTTCAATGCCTCAATTGGAGTACAACTACTCCAATAGTGCAACACTCCCTCAATAATACCCTGAACTGTCAGCCTAGATTATGTGCACGTTTCTCTGGAGTGAAGCTGGAACCGTGTAAAATTTGTTTGTCACAATGCAACAAGCAAAAATATGGAAGCAATAAAGTAATTAATTATATAAAAATACAATTAAACAAATAAATGTTTCCTCAGCCTATTGTCTCTATTTCCCTAAATACTTTCTTGCCTTTGCTAATTTTATATTGTTTTAACTTAAATTGTGACAAAATAAAGTAAAATTTATTCTAATCCTTCCAGAATCCTGCCAGATTTGCTGAGTTTCTCCGGAATTTTTTGTTTTTATTTCAGATTTTCAGCAGTATTTTACTTTTACATATTATCCTAATCTAATTAATTCTGCATTACACTGTCAAAAACTTGGAACATCTGCCATCAGCAGCCGCACACAGGTGAGGGTCTGATAGTGCAGTATTTCAGAATTGCCGAGAGAGATTCACTAGTCTATTTAAGAACTACTGTAGAACTTTTAATCCTTGAAGCCTTGTCTGTCATTCAAAAAGACCATGGCAGATTTGTGGCAGATCTCCATACTGACTTTGTCCCATTTGCTTCCTGCCTTAGGCTATTTAATTTTGAAATTAGCAATTGATCTAGTATCAATTGTGATTTGCAGAAGAACATTTCAAATGTCTAACCCCTTTTGCATACAGACTTTTTCCCCTAACTTTGCTCCTGATGGTCTGGCATTAACGTTTTACTAATACATCCTTATACCAGCCATAGCATGCTGGTCAGCAGGAACAATTACTCACAATCTATTCTTTATGTTTGCCTTAACATCTTCAAAACTTTGATCAAATCATTGCATAACTTTCTAAATTCCAGGCTATATCAGTTTGTGGAGTCTCTCCCTAGAATTTGGTGCTGTACAAAAATGATATATCCTTCCTCAGGTATGTTGCCCAGAACTTCTCCTAGTACTCCAGGTGTTTTCTCTTGTAATCTGTTTCTTCAGATATAAAGGCCAACATTCATTAGTATTTTTGATTTTTTTTTCTGTACTTGTTCATGACATTTTAATTATAATGTAGTGGGAGGCCAAGTCTTTTTGTCTTTCATAGTTTTTGGCTTTTCACCTTTAGAAAGTACCTTGCTATATCCTTTCTGGGTCCAAAGATTTGATTTCATTCTCACCTCCAAAGAAATGCATTGGCACAGATTTTCACATTTCCTTAATTTATATCTCTGTGTAATTTTATACTTTGAATTTTTCTTTTGGAAACAAACTTTAAATTATTTCCTTTGCTCAGATTCCATGGCCTTATCCTGTCATCTCAGTAACCTCCTCCAGCCCATCAATCATCAGGTCTCTGTAATTCCAACTTCTGTCTTCAATGCACCTTCTACCACCTTTTGTTCCTCCATTGGAAGCCATGCTTTCAGCTACCTCTTTCAAACACCGCTAGTCCTTTAAAGTGCTGTTTAAATCCTAATGCTTCAGCCACGCTATTTGTTTGTGAGTTCTTCTAACATCTTCTTTGACTTGGTGTCAATTTTTATAACCATGGACCTAAGAAGGCCTATGAGATGTTTGTCTACATTGAAGATGCTATAAAAATTTAAATGGTTTCTTCTGCTTGCTTGCACCATATGTTTTGATAGGAGGACCAAAACAGAATTTTGTTTGGCTAAATGCAAATATTTTTAGCCAATTGGAAATACAGAATTGAATATTTACTACCTCCCTTCAAAAAAAACCGATGCTGAATTTACTTGATTATGTCTTTGTCAATTTCTGGAACAAAAATTTAATAGGACAGGAAGATAAATTGGATGGATACGTTAAGAATTCATCAAAAGAGATAGTAGATTATAAATTAGCGGATAAATAGATTTTAGTTTAACAATTGTACATTTTTGTAACAGGGATCAACTTAGCAGTCCTTAGAATGACTGACCTTTAGCAAATATAAAACATGAGTTATTAACCAGAGATTAATGTGAAAAAGCTTAGCAAAACATATTTAGAAATAGTTTTTCTAACTTGTTTCTTGGTTTGTAATAAATGATTAGAAAATTGAATAACTTGAAAACAATCTGGATAGAACATGCCCTTGTAAGAAAATGAGAAAGGCATTAACAATTTGTTTATTTTAAACAATAAATTAAGATCAGGATAATGCAGTAAATCCAGGTGATGTTGAAATTTTGAAACACACCTATACAAATTGGTAAACCAAACTTGAATCTACGTCAAATATCAATTTTGCAAAACTTAAAGGGGTATGGTAATTATTTCAAAATTTAGCATTAATGTTTCACATAATGTGCGTCCTGGTGTATTTATTTAACAGCATTGCAAATTTTAAAGAAATGGAATAACTTGCACTTGCAGAGTGCCTAGCATGACATTAAGGTGTCCCAAAGTGCTTTACAGCCAATGAAATACTTCCTAGTAAAGTCATTATTCTAAAGCGGAAAATCCATCAGCTATTTGCACACAGCAAGGTACCACAAATGACAACATAATAATGACCAAACTGTCTGGTTTAGTGACTTGATTGAAGGAGAAATTTGATGCAGACACCAGGGAGAATTCCTGTGTCCTTCACAATATCTTTCGATATCTAATATCCTAAATATTATTTTAGAATAGGCAGTTGCAAGTTGCTAGGATATTGTTCATTACATTTTTTTAAAGTCTTATTTGGCCTCTACTGGCACATGCTGTACACTATTTGAATAGGTGTTCATGTAGCTTGTTCTTGGATTTTATCAGTGCAGTTTTGTAGCTGATTGGAAAGAAATGTAATGTGTGGCACAGTATCAGTCACCTATGACCATTTACATTTTTCACTTGCCTCAAAAACATTTGAGCAGCAGTATAAATAAACTGTCACATCCAGCTTCATTCAGATATGGTTGGGTCTGAAAGAGAGCATTGGACGTTTGTTGACTTCCAAAAAATACCTATTCCATGTATAATTATATATAATGAGTAAGTCAAACACAAAAGTTCCATCAGTAAGTTAGCAACGTGATCAGTTGCAACAGAGAATTGTTTAGCTGAAACTAGAACATAGTTAGCTCTGTTTCAACTTCACACCCATGCAATTCTCATTTATATTCAAGATTTTATTCATCCAGAAAGCAGAGGAGGAGAATGGTTTCTATGAAGAATTTTGAAATGGTTCTCTTTCATCTGATTACAGGTGGAAAGTTTGTTTACCTTCTTCAGGACTAAGGACCAGGAGACTTATTATCTATTGTGTGGTCCCAAGACTTTCTGCCTGGTGGATTTAAGAAGCTCCTTGTTTTAAAATACAGCAGAATATGCATATGAAAATTAATTTTGCTGTACTGCACTTTTCAATAAAAAGGTCAACCTCAGCTGGTGTGACTGCATTCATATTTTGATATTGGTTGAGTTTGATTTGCATTGTTCTTAAAATCAGATCTGGCCAAACCATGTTCCTCCCTGATATGGGGAATTATTTGAACAGGAATACTGTTCTGCTTGAATACCTCTGTATCATTTCTAAATGTTGTAAAAGGAGATATTTGTATACTTAGAGGTATACCTTTTTGTCTCTTTCATTATGATTTAAGATTTATTCAAAGAGTCTTGAATTTGAGGCCTATTTTTGAACAAATTAGTATTGCACACAAACACAAAATGAACTACCATCATGAAAGGAGTATTCATGTGCTGACATGTTACTATCTTATGAAAGTGCTAATTTTGGCAGTAAGAACAATTTTTGGTAGTAAGAACAATTTTTGTGGTAATATGTTTTCTGACAAACTTTTGAGACCTAATTTAATGATTTGTGCTGTTGAATTAAAATCACCCATTGAACCAATTATTGATGGTACTTTACATTTGAATAAGTAGGCTTCCATTTGCAATGTATTTTAATACAAATTAACCTAGGTAGCTGGGAATTCCAGTTAGATATACAACGCTCATGGCACCTAAGAGTTTTGGCTGTTTATCTGGAACTGAATAAAGAAAATCTGATGTTGAGGTGGCAAAGAAGAAAGATTAATCCTGAAATACCATCCAGCTCAAAACTGAATCCTCAGAGAGTTACATATTTTTAGTTATTGTAAAAAACTGTGATTGAAGCTTGAAGCTTAACAAGGACAGCATGGAACAACATCAGATAGTTGCAGAAACAATTGATTCCTTTTTCGTAACTCCAGGTGATCAACATACAGCTGAATAGTGATACCACACATTTGAACGCCATTAGAAATGTTTTAACTGGTAGGCAATTGTTTCAGTTAGTAACTCCCAGTATACATTATATATGTTTGTCACCTGTGAACCAACAGAGTGTTTTCACATGTACTCTTTCCTGCTGCCATTTCAAGTGCTCAGGTAGTGTTCTAGTATGAAGATGTAACCTCTCTGCGGTTAGATGGAGAAAACTACATTGACAATGCACTGTTAACTGTAGCCGTTTGTGATACAGTAAACTGTGGTGTAACACCCACGCAACAAAGATTCATTACAGTTGCTAGAGTTTGCAGAGGATTAATAGTGGTTCATTCACATTAAGATATGGGTGCAGCCTCCCAACCCAGTGTCGTATGTCATTTGCAAGTGCTTTCTTTATCAAACAAAATCGTTCAGTTCCATTAAATCTCCAGTGTCAACACATGCCTACGTAAGTCTTGTATAATCCGTTAGTTTCAGTAAAAGAAGCGTGTCTTGGCTTTTGGAGGAACTAAAATAACACATTTGGACACAAATTTTAATAAATAATAAATTAATAATAACAATTAATAATAAATTTGAATTGCCTGAGAGTGGGCTGAGTACAGATATAACTAGCTATGCAGATATCGAGAAGCTATCACAAAATAAATTTTGATCTTTTGGTTTTGCATCGTTCTGGAGGTGCTGGACATTATTCATCACAAAAAGTATGCCATATGGATTTTGCTTAACATTATAATCTGAAAAGGATAAATCTCGCCATACAATGAGAATGGCTATGGATGAAGAGGACCTCAAACTTCCTGAGACAGGAAGACACCATGGTGAGAGACTAGATCATAGTTTAATATTCATTGTTTGCTTAAATCACTCTCTCCCTTTTTTCCATGGCCATGGTCAAGTCACCTGAAAGATATAATAAATTATTTGAATGCAATAAAACCTACTTTAATTTGGGGGGAACAATTGTGCTTAAATACTACAATAGATTTATTTCCACACTAGTAAACTTAAAAGTTACAAATAAGTTTCAAATGATGCAGTTGTATCAAAGAATAAAAGTATCCAGTTTCTCAATTGACTAACAATAATAATAAACTAGTAATCATTTCAGTGTTTTATATAATATTGGATCCAATTTTAACTTATTCAAAAGCCACTCTCTTATGCAAAGTGAAAATTAGACCTAATGTATTTGCAGATTATAAATGTGACAACTTCTGTTTTAAACTGCTCCATAAGTGTGATTGAATTGCTGATTGTGATCTTCATGTGTCCCCATTGGTTGCACTATTGAGATAGATTTGGTAAAAGTCATATATTAGAGTGATAGAATTTAGAGTACCAATGCATTATGATTCTGGTGCTGTTAGGCCAGAGGACAGCCTTATAACTGCTGTTAGAATTTCTGCTTAGAGATTATTCAATACCAACTTAGCTATTCTCAATAACCAGAGGATCTTTTCTTAAATGTTAAAATCTGTTCTTTGGATTTTGAAAGGTGTCCATCTAACTGATGTCAATAGTTAAAGATAATGCAATTAACATCCCTAAACTCTGAAAGATCTGACCAGGACAGTGGAATGCAGGTATTGCCCAATGGTTTGAAACCTCTTGCATATATTTTGACAGAACAAATCCCTAGTATCTCCAACAGTCACAATCGGAACAATTTTCATTTGCAGCTCCAATGTTATAGAAACACGCGTCAGTGTAGTCTGCAATTCCTCACTAAGGTTGTTTGAACACTCAGTGAGCTCAGATTGCAAACTGTCAACAAGATCATTTATACTATGCTCCATAATAAATTCCAGTCAAGCAAAAGGTCAGTGTATTATGCATGTTAGTGTGCAATTCCTGCATGGCATGCTCCACTGCATGTTTGTAGGTCTGTTTTGCCTATTTCTAACATCTTAGGCAACCAAGCAGTTTTATCTGGTAGATAACTGCGCTATACAATGACTCATGGTGTATAGTATCTATATGTTATCACATGAACCAATAGGGTGCTTTACATCTCCATCCTGATGCAATTCAATATTCACCTTCAGCCATGGGTAATTGTGTTGCATAGCTGGTGATAATGTGTCTATTGTAATTATTACAGTCCCCCTGTGCTGCTGCTAGTATTGGTACTATTGGGTTCATCATTGTGGTAGTTCTTTCTGTTATGAGTTTTGTGGCAGAACCTGTGCAGCCAAGCCAAGTCATATGATGGTCTTGGTTTATATATAAATGAAGTTCCACCTTGTTGATCTGTTTTTATTTAATTTTTTTTATATTTTAGGAAACTTTTAGCAGTTTCAATGTAATAGTAATTATTTTAGTGGTCTCTAGAATCAATGAGTCAGCTACAGTATCATAAGCTCTTGAGTTTCCAGGGAAAGAAAGTAAGATTCAAGCTCCTGAGCTCCCGTTAGTTGCTGGGTTTTTCCTGAAGTGCCATGTAGCCTTGTCTTTCTATTTTTGGTTTATTACTGTAACATCATTAACTCTTAGAAATATCTTTTTTTTTAATTCCTGGCAATAGCACTCAACCACCACTATTTCTTCCCATGCTTGCCTGCATGTCTCTGAGTGCGTAGACGTGACAAACATAGAGACTCTTCTTCGCATGGCCTCATTTGTAAACATTTCTACTTCTGCCTTTGTGAAGTGCGGCTTTCCCATTGCTTTTCTACCATTTTCTGCAGTGTCCTAATGCTGCTATTGCCATGCAGTAACTTTTAGACCTTAATTAAAGTGGATTTTTGCAATAACTCAATGGATTATTGAATGTTTCACTGGTGGAGAACGCAGAAAACCGTGCGTAGCGGAAAATAGGCCCACAGCAGTGATATAAACATCCAATCAACAGAACACACAGCAGTTCAAAAAATTATAGCTGAAATTATTGTTGCTCAAAATGGGGAATATTGTTTTATAAGTTCTGGAAACAAATTGTTTATTATCTGAAACATTGTACAGCATTATTTCACTTGAAAATCAGACGTAACAATGGAAAATCCCAAAATGGAATATGACTAAATGGACTAGTATTGATATACCAAGGACAGGAAAGAAATGTAGAAGCATAGAAGACAGGAGCAGGAGTAGGCCATTCAACTCTGCGCCACCATTCAATATGATTAGGACTGATCATCTAACTTAATACCCCGTTTCCACTTTCTCCCCATATGCCCTTAGATCCCCTAGCCTGTTGAACTATATCTAACTCCTTCTTGAAAACATTCAGTGCTTTGGCCTCAACCACTTTGTAAGGCATGGAATTCCACAGACTCGCCACTTTCAGGGTAAAAAAAAAAATTGTCTTTATCACTAAATGGTCTAACTTGTATTCTTAAACAATGACCTCTTGTTCTGAAACAAAAACAGAAATTGCTGGAGAAACTCTGCAGGTCTCGCAGCATCTGTGGAGAGAAAATAGAGTTAAAGTTTCAGGTCCAGTGACACTTCTTCAGAACTGCTTCTTCAGAACTCCCTGCTCTGTTTATCCTGCCTGGTCCTGAGATCCCCTTTCATTCTTCTAAACTCCAGTGAATATAGTCCTGACCAATCCAGTCTCTATTCATATGTCAGTCCTGCCATCCCCGAAATTCAACTCAAAACTCAACTTCTAAGATAAAGGTAAAGAGTTGGGGTAAGCAAAAAGTTAAACAAATTAAAACATTCTCTTACCATTTAACTTGCAGTACATATTATACATCCATTTGTTCTGACTTAGAAATCCTTGTACTATTTTGACATCTTTTAGAAATAAGTTGAAGATTAATGCAAGTGTGATCCATGCCTATTCAGCCAACATTTATTTCATTTACAATAATGTCCCTGTCAAGTTCCATCATCTGCAGTACATTTCCTTCTTAAGTGTTTATTATTATTAATTCATGATTACCTTATCTTTCTTCCTATTCTTTTAATCTGTGCCTGCACATTACCTCCTTACCTAGATTGCTCAATCATATTTTGTTACAATCAGAGTAAGCAGCCCTTTATCACAGGTCAGTGTTCAAGAGCTAGAAGACAACGGAGATTCCAAGCACTATCTTCTCACTGTAAATTAATCCTATTAGTGTAACAGTTTCCAGAAAATGGTACTGTGACTTCAAAAGGTTAAAATATTCAAAAGAGACACCGAGGGGAGGTTTTTGGAGGAAACCATTTGCTAAATTTAATGTATAAAAATTTCTAAGGGCAAATCACTTGTCAAAAAAATCTTTTTATGCTCTACATGAATTGTGGTTAGTTGAAACTATCTGCATGGAGTCAGCGTGCTCTTCAAGTGATCCTGTAGCTGCATGGCTGATATAGAAAAGTGAAAATGAGCCATATCTCAAAAATGGAGCACCTTATTGCACAGCTTTGAAAGTATTTATCTTTGGAGGAAAAAATGCAATTTAATTCTCATTAGCAGTCCAACCAAAGCCATCATAATGAGTTTCCTTGTTTGGAGATAACAGCTCCACGGACCTGTGCAATGAATCTATGGCTGAGCACCTCTCATTGATAGAGAAGTGGAGAAGTTTAGATGCTGAGTTGTAGTAGGTATGCATTTGTAAATAATTCTTTAATTTGGTATCCATACCAAGGTTAATTCTTTCATCTTTACAGCCTCTCAGAGTTACATTTTCCCTTCATATCTTTAGAAAGTCTGGATGTGAACATGAATCTCACCTACCTGTTATATAACAATAATGTGATTTTTCTTGAGGATAAGTAGATTTTTTGCTGACAATTTATATGCAGGAAATGTTTAGCAGTGAATATATTCTGAAGATTAGGTAACCGCGAAGGAAAACAAAATAATTGCAGAAATTCAAAGCTGAGACTTCTTAAGATTTGATTTTGGATGTGTACATTACTGACAATGCCAGTATTTATTGTCCATCCCCATTTGCCCTTGAGAAAGGGCATTTCTAATTTATTTCAGTTTAAATCTGTAAAAGGGAAGGGAGACTGCACTGTTTATATTTTATTTTTATCATGTTCCACAAGATAACAGAAAATTGCACAACTGCATGTTGTCTCTGGTATGAAGCAAAATCATTTTCACTTCTTTAAGGGTAAAAAGTACAGGTCACATGGTGTCTTTTTACATTCCTGATGTAAATATTTGTAGAGATCAAAATAACAAGTCAATCCAAAAGCCAGGTAAAGGTTAAAGCAAGAACAAAATGTTTTAAAATCTGTAATCATTGGTATATGAAACTTTGGGGGACATGAGTTGCCACACAGCAGCCTCTGTAGAGTAACAAAACACACAATTTAATAAAAAAGAACAGTTTTAAAATATAACAAGAAGCTGCTGTTGGAACAGAGCTGTCATCCCCCTTCAGTACTGTGCTAACACAATGAAAAGTTAAGTAACACTTTTTCCAATGACTGTGTCATGCAGCTTTCAGATCAGGTTCATAAGTTCAAAATGTGACGGGACCTTCAAGTACCGGTGATAAAATGTAGGGTAAGTAAACCTGTTGGGGGAACAAAAAAAAAGTCTGTTCGATATGAGATATTCCAAATGAAATTATCTGTAGGCTCTGGAACAATGATAAAAAAAACCCTGTAATTTCAGTATTCCAAAGCGTGGCTGAATTAATTTTGATGGGTTGAAACTAGGCGAGGTGTGTTGGAGGGTGGGTGGGTGGTGGTGAGCGCGGTGGGGGAACAGATGTGTCTTTTAGCAGGAGTAAGATGTTTGTTAGGGACAGTGCACTGATGATAGCATTAATATTTTAACCATTTTATGTTTTAAAATGTGAATATTGAAAGGAAAGGAAGCAACAATGGTTTATGCAATTTGCATTTTTTTCCCCTCACTGGGTTGTGGGAGGAGTTTAAGCTGCTCCATACCCCATTTATCTTCTTACTTTGTCCTCATGCCAAATCTCCTATTACTTTCAGTCCTGTTAAACTTTCACTCTTTCCGAAAAGGCAGGGCAACAAGTCCCACTGATCTCCATGGCACCACAGACTCTGGAAAGGCTTTTTGACAAACTTGGCCACTTTGGAAGGTAAATGTTTTACTCTTGAATTTATTGGCATATGTTCATTTTGTTTTCAGAGAAACTTAACAGCAATCACAGTAGCATTTAGAGACTAACAGCAGCTTTGTCTGAAAGCGACTTGTCAGTTTAAATAGACAAAATTATATTCTTATGAAAAGAATATAAGTGTAAAACATATATTTTAAGATTGTGTATTGGTAAATTAAAAGTTCAGTCAGTTTTAATTCACTTCCCACCCCAGCTTTTGGTCCTATTTAGTGCTTATTGAATTTTGCTATAACATTATTCTGTACAACTCTGTTTTCATTTGTTAATTATCAAAACTGGCTTTGTATTTTCCAGATTCCAAGCTGCTGTGTATTTTGTGGTCAATTTCCAAACTATAGCATGTGGGATCCACTATTTGGCCTCAGTGTTCCTTGCTGTAACACCGCAGTTCATATGCAAGTTGCCTGGAAATGTGACCACAATCCTTGTTTCAAATACTACAGCTGACCCTAGAGATTTGTGGAACTTGTGGACTCCAGATTCACGCAGTGTTATCGCTCAGATGGAAACTGGAGAGATCTGGGAAGCTGAGAAGTGTAGTCGTTTCAGAAGAATTGGAAGCTTCGAGTTAGTCAATTACTTTAAAGGCAACAGGACACGTTATCCCTGTTCTGATGGTTATAGCTATGATCAAAGCCATGTTGAAAACAGCATTGTGACTGAGTGGGACCTAGTCTGTGACAGGGAATGGTTAGCAAAACTCACCCAGCCCATTTTTATGTTTGGAGTCCTACTGGGGGCTGTGGTGTTTGGGGATATCGCTGACAGGTAATTCCTCCTATTTTTGCCAACTCTCTATTTGTAATTCCATTTGTGACAGCTGTATTTGTAATTTAGTTTCTTCTTCTTTTTCCCCTTTCAAATTTTCCCAAGCATCACACTCACACCACAGCTGAGTTGGCAGCTTAGAAACCTGCTCTCGGCCTCTACCAATACTCTTTTCTGACTGACTATCAACATGTGCCACTAGCTTTCCCTCCCAGCTGTTATTAAATAATTAGATCATCTTCAATTTTGCGCCACCACAGCATTTTTCAGTACAGTGCTCACTATTGTGAGAGATCATAGGTACAGAGCCACTGTATTGCACAGCATGCTGATGATCCTCTACACGTGGAGTATTTGGAGATTTGACATTTCTAAAGTTTCTGAACATTTAGCTCATCATAATAAGTTAGGATTCCATTGTCAACCTGAATTAAATCCCTCTATTTGCTGTGAAAGCATCCCAAATCAGAGATTGCCCTGTTTAGATACCATATCTCCACAAAATACCAACTGTAAAGGAAAACAGAGCTTACATTCATGGGCACGTTGGGTTGTTTCTGAAGAACATGTTAAAGTACTCAATAAACGTTAAATTACTTAGAAGTGCATTATTATGAATAGAAAATAATTGTGCTAAGTATAAAGTCTCAAAGACGACAGAGGTAGAGATGACCAGTCAATCTATTTTTTTGTCGTGCGCACGCACAAATGTTGTATGGAATTGAAAATGCAAGGCACTTTTATTCAAAACAGTGCACCAAGAGCTCAACTGACAACAGCTGCATATTTAGATAAAGTTGGTTGAGTTGACTTTGTATCTGATATGGATATATCTATATATATCTCTATATATATATAGAGATAGACAGAGGATCTCAGCACATGTTCAAATGAAACCGTCTACTCATCAACCAGATTGCATTAGTTATCTTTCAACACTCATGACTCCTAAGGCTGTATAGCACCTTGGAGATCTGATTACAACAGACACTTCTAACACGATGTAACTGGAGAATTTGTTGCTGTGAGCTGATTGGAAACTGGATTGATAATGCTGGAATAACAAGATATAGAGCTGGATGAACACAGCAGGCCAAGCAGCATCATAGGAGCAGGAAAGCTGACGTTTCGGGCCTAGAC